GGGGCCCCTGGCGCCGCGTCCGGCCCGCCTCCCCTGCTGCCGCCCTCACCTGCGCCCGGGGCTCCCCTCGCCTTCAAGGCCGGGGACTCCAGCCCAGACAGACAGGGGACGGCGCAGGGAGACAGCACCTGAGGATACGGAGCTGGCTCTGGACTGCCTTTTCATCCCCAGGTGATGAGTGAGGTCGGGAGAACGGAAGATTTTAAAAGCCACCGGGGCCTCCGTATTGAATGAAAGACCCAGTGCAAAGGCATCACCATGAACACGAGCAGTAAGTGGATCCTCCTCTCCTTTGCCATGGGAACAGGGGTGGGGGCGGGAGGTGCAGGAGCCTGCACCGGCTGCCTGGAAGGAGGAAAGAAGCCTGGCCTCTGTGTGGATACCTGACCCCCGACTCCTTCTGGCGCTTTTCTGAGCTCCGTGGCAAAGGACTAGCTTTAGGGGTTGGCTTTTCATGATGATTTTGCTAGTGTTAATAGGAGGCGCCCAGTGCCTCTGCTAGGAAAGCTGCTGTCTCCTTCCAGCAATGCTAGGAAGGCCTAGGAAGCAGCACTGTGTCCATTGTCTGACACGGGGCTCAGCAGACCTTCCTGTCCACATCTGGAGAACCATGGAAGCCCTGCTCACCCCGGAGCAGGGGAAGGCAGGGAGGCTGGCTTGTGGGCGGGCATGGGCGGGCACGGGATGGAAAAGAGCAATTTGATAAACAAATACTCATGAAGACACCTTCGATCTGGAAGCTGTGAAAGAACTAGCTCCTGTGCCCCTCAGCCTGGTGGGGCTACTTTCTCCACCCAGCTGCAGGCTGATGGCCCACCCCACTCCAACCCCACTCCAACCCCACTCCAGAAGAGAACGGGACAAACCCTTTGGGTGACAGGACTGGCGTGCCAGAGGCAGCAAGTGTCTTGCAGAACCAGGACCAGGCATTTTGCTCCTGGGCTGGGCCTCGCCTGCTGAGAGATGCAGTCAGCAGCCCAAGGAGCCAGGGTCCCCCTTCTTCAGTAGCGTTTCTCTGAGCGCGCTGAGTGATGCCCTGTGAGGACAGAGCTGGGTTCAAGTCTCTCTCTACTTGGCTGTCAGCTTAACTATCTAGGCCACTCAGGCATCAGGTGGGGCTGTGGAGCCAGTGGACCTCTACCAGGGTTCATGTCCCTGGGTTTAGGACTTTGTTCTTAGTCCCAGCTCTGCATCCCTGATGTTCATCTCTAAATCAGAGACCCTTAAGCTAGAGACCCTTCTAATCTAACAATCTACAAAGCTACAATTGAGCAGCAAGGCCAGAAAAATTAGCACCTTATTGAGACTGTGTCCAGCCAAAGCCCACTGTTTCCTCACCCTCCCTCCATTTCAAGGCCGTTGGCATAGAGAAGAGGAAAACAAAAGCAAAAGCCAATGAGATGGAAGTGAAATATATTTATTTACTACGTGCTTGTATGACTCATCCCTCTGCCGTCTTCCTTTGTGTATTACATATCTATGCTAAGCAAGCGGGGCTAGACTCCCCTGCCTCTTTCAGCCAAAAAATTTTGCCTCTTAATTTTGACTGTCTGGATGATGCTTTGGTTTCCTACCAGGCTCAGGAAAACAGTAAAACCCCATAGACCCTGGGACTTGGCCATGCGTTTGTATCTGTGTGCTTCCAGACGAATAAAGATGTGAATCTGCCTGTTACTTTCTCACTATGTCTAGGAAAAAATATATTTATGGGAGTCTTTTCCACCAAATAATTGAGGAAGAGATGGCTTATCTATTTTTTCAAGGAGCTAAGAAAGGCAATAAGCAACTGACTCTGCCCTCTTCTCTCTGGAATTCTAAGAAACTCTTGTCCAGTTAGCAACATTGAGTATTGCAGGAAAAAAAAAAAAAAAAGAAAGAGATATTTTTCTTTTTTAAAGAAACAGCTATCAATAGAGTTGAATGCTGCAGAAGACGAAAACTGACAAAAATGCCAGTCCAGCTTGATCTGCTTTTTCTAAGCGAGCAGAGTGTTTACATTGCAAGAGGAGTGGAAAATAAACAGTAAAATGGCTGGGGCTGCCTGGGGAGCTCCTGGGCTCCCCATAAGAGGAAATGCTTCTCTGAACAGATAACTGGAGATCACTGTAGAGGAGGCTGCAGCCCTGGTACGGGGAATCACTGCGGTCTCCCCCAACTTGGAGAGTCTGCAAATGGAAAGAGTAGAAATCAGGCCACACAGCAGTGACAAGGCCATAAGTTCAGCAGGACGGAGCATTGGCAGGAGGTCCATGGCTGACCTGAGCTAAGCAAAAATGCTCCCCTTGGAGATGTGAAATCATTAACCCAATTCTTATGCCGGAAACTGTCCCTAGCAGAAACTCTTCTTTAGGGTTTTTTTCACTCCCAGTTATGGGGTCCACACTCCTCCCCACCCCCAGCCACCCCACTGAACTAGATGTTTCCCTTCCTCACCCTGCCCAGACACTCCCACCCACGCTGTGAGTACTGTTATTCCACTTTAGTAAGAGAGACTTTGTAGTTAGTATTTGGCGATTTCACATCATGCAGTTCATTGCTGGGTTCCAGAAGGTGCTTGGATGTATAGTGTATCTGACAGTGGGTACAGTTCCTAATCAGTGGTTCCAATACCAGCACTGAAATACAAGCTTATTATATTTTTTTCTTTTTTTTGGTACTAGGAACCAAACTCAGGACCTTGCTCTTGCCAGAAAGTACAAGCTTATTGATAAATTTCTAATTGCATGATCTGGAGCAGAGCACAGGCTGTGGTTGTAAGCTCATGGAGCTCAGACCCTAGAATCAGAGTGTTTCATTATTTTTCTCATATTAGCTGCATGATCTTCAGCATGGTTGTCTCATTTGCAAAAATTAGAATGGGCTGGAGACTATATGTTAATGTTTTGTGTAAAATCCAGTGTGACATGGACAAGGCTGGAGCCATGTCATCAATAGGGTGGTCAGGTTGTCATCACCATTGTGGTGATCATTGTGTTACTGGCATTAGCTTCAAGATATTAGCAAGCAGGTCACTCAACCTCTCAAATGTCAGACCTTCACTGTGAATTGAGAAATGTCCCTGGAGTATGATTTTTGAGGATTAAATGGGATTACAAGGAAATGATTTCTAAACATGTGTAAATTGTTTTTATTAAGAAACCCATTTCTTGAGGGACAAAGTCAGGAGAGTGTTCAATCAATGACTCCTCTGTGGGAGTTTTATTTTGCTGAATCTTCTGAAATCTCTCTGAGCATTGGCATACTGATCAGTGGGCATCTGGGAGAAAGGGATAATTTGGAGCTGATGGGTGGGGAAGCAGACAGACCTGTGTAGATACAGACTTTCTTTCCTCCTATGTGCTCCCATCCTAATTCCAAGGATCTGTCATTTGCCCCTGACATACAGAGGCACCCCAACTTGTCCCTTTATCCACTCCAGCCCCCTCTAGTCATTCCCCTACATCTGCTGTCTGTATCACCTCTGTAGGGTCTCTTATGGCCCAGCTCTGACCTTCTCACCAGTCCCACTGCTTCTACACTGCACCGTTCTTTGTGTCACTGTCACATGTGCGTCTTTCCATTCCCTCCATGGGCTTGTTCCTCCTGCCTTTATTGCGTGGTTCCTTCTGCCTAGAAAGCCCCCTCCCCGACAGCACCAGTCCCTCTGCTACCCACTCCCACACTTCACCTCCACTCTGGCTTCTTCCCCCTCCAGAGCTTCCAAAGCCCTCCCAAGCCCCCCAGTCCCTCTAATGTCCCTGTGAGGTAGGATCACAGTGCACCTTGGCCCTGTTCCTTCCAAGCCTGGTCTCTATTATTGTCTGCTCGTCCGTGTTGGTCACTCATTGAAGTCCATCTACCCAAACAGCCAGCTGCATAGGGGTTGTACCATGTGCCCCATAGCTGTGACACAGTCTGGGGAATTTGTTTATTCTGGTTTGTACACTGACCATTTCTATCACCCAGATTGCTCACTCTTACTGTCTTGAACCGTGGGTACTGTCCATGAAATGTATGTGCTGTTACATAGCAATATATCTTTAATTACTCCTCTTGGTGTTCCAGTTCTTACATTGATACCAGGGGTTCCAGATCCAAGGGAGACTGAGTTGACATGAGGTGCTAATAGCCTTGAACACCCGAGTCAGTTCTGCACCCCATAAAATCTCATACTCCTCACTTACATCAGAATTCCCACAGCTCCTGAGTGCTATGGCTTTCCTATGTGTAAAACCCAGGGCTGGGTCATCCTCGAGGTGGGGAGCATCCTGTGCACCGTGGGCCATGGTACCAGTACATCCTCCTTCATGTCGTAGGCCTCCTCCTGCCTCTGGCCATTTCATTGTCTTTAGCATGGGTTGGCATGCTAATAAATTCCTCCTTTGGAGTAGACTTTGTTTTGCTGCAGAGAGTATTCAAAGATCACATAAGCCCACAAAGACATCATAGAGCAGTAAGAACCCAAACTTTGGGATATGGATGCTGAGTTCAAGTTCAGGATCTGCCATGTGCTGTGTAGTCTTGGGCAGAATAGACAATGTCTCTGAGCCTGAATTTTATGATGTATAAAATCTGAGCAATAAAATGCCAATGTGCAAGTTTCTTGTGAGATTTGAGTGAAATACCGTGAGACATTCACTAGAACTGGGTCTCAGTGAATGGAGTTGAATCTGAAGTTGAACTGGCCATTGAGTTAAGCAAAGTTCTGAAATGAAGATATCATAAAAAGCAAGCTTTCCGATTGGAAGTTATCCTGTCTTGCTGGTACAATAGGGTTTTGTATATAGGAAAATCGGAGCCTTCAGAAAGGTTATTAACCTGGTATTTTATGTGAATTGGGGTGAAAAGGGCAGGATAGGAAGCTGAGATCTGAAGTGAGCGACAGCTGTCCTAGTTCAGAGAAGGTATAAGCACCAGGATTTGGGTAATGGTGAAAATATAAATAAAGAGAAAGATCCTGTAGGAAGTAAAGACAACTGATTGTATTGGGGTGAAAGAGAAGAAGGGGATTCTCTCAGGGCTGTGGCAGTGAATGGACGGATGATTTGAAGGGAGTATAATAAAAGTTTTCTAGAAGTGCGTCAAGGGTATGGAAAAGCAAGCAAGGAGGAGCAGGAATGGTTCATTACCTACTATAACCACAGGCCTGAAGGGATAAGAGAAGGAACCAGAGACGCAGCTGACCATGCGTGGGCATTATGACAGGACAGGACCTTCTCAGTCCTTGGCTCCAGGAAGGCAGTCAGCCCAGTTCCAGGGAAGGGACCAGGGGGATAACTACTGTATCTTGACCCCTTTCTCCTCCCTCCCACGGGTGCTCAACAAATCCATCCAGAAGCCATAGGACAATGAAGGGAGTGGGCAGCTTATAATGGTCAGCCCCCCAATTCATGGTGCAGGACAGGAGGCAGAAGGGAGCTGGAAAGCACAGGAGTTCAGAATAGAGGACCCTGACACAGGGGCAAGATGAGCTTCCTCTGCCACTGCCATGGCCTGGATCAGGAGTTCCAAGAATTCTTAAACAAAAGGGTCTGTTACAGACACAAACCCAGTAGGATACCCTCTCAAGAAATTCTAGTCTGTGAAACATAAAATAGAAGTGACTGAATGCTGCAAGGGTAGAATTTTTGTGTGTTTGTTTAAACAGTGCTTGCCAGATGAATGAAGCAGGTGTTGACACATGATTACTTGAAACTAGGGGGGGTTAGAAGAATAAACGTAAGCAGCAATTTTAAAATCATCCAAAATGAGCATAACACATCTCCGAAAATCACAATGTGATTTCAAGAGCACTTGGATCGCAGAAAGGAAGTGATATCAATTCTCAGCTCCAACTCTCCTATCTGGCAAAAGTGCTATCTTGCTGAGATAGCATCTGCTGTGGTGAGCGGGTAGCCGCTGGCTCCCACCCAGGGGTAGCCAGAAACCATGGTGAAGCATAGAAAACAACCAGAAGTTTGGAATACCGTTGGCTTAGGGGCAATTTTGCGAACGACATTGTCTCCTGTAGGCCTTAATGGCGCAGACTGGAGAGATTGCCGGGTTTAAACTCCATCCGTGCCTCTTACATGTGTGTCCATGGGCAAGTCATTCACCCTGGTTCCTCATCTCTAATGATAATCATGGTGGGAGTGGGATAATAATAGTGCCTCCCTCATGGGATTGTCACCAAGAACACATAAGTCTGTAGTTGTGAATTGCTTAAAACAGTGCTCAGCCAATAGCAAATGCAAATTAAAAATAAATAGTGTGTGCTACTTTGTTAGGGCTGCTGTAATAACACATTACAAACTGGGCAGCCTAAATAGCAGAGATGTACATACTGCCTCACAGTCCTGGAGACCAGAAGTCCAACATCAAGGTGTTGGCAGGGCTGGGTCCTTCGGAGTTTCATGAAGCTCGTGGGCTTGTAGCTGGCCATCTCTTCACTGTCTCTGCAGAACTTCCCTCAGTGTATGCCTGTGTCCAAATTCCCCCTTTTGATAAGGACACCAGTCATATTGGATCAGAGCCCACCCTTGTGGCCTAATTTTAACTTGATTCTCTCTGTAAAGACTATCTCCAAATAAGGTCACATTCTGAGGAACTGGTGTTAGGACTTCAATACTCTGGAGAGAGACACAGTTCAATCCTTTATCATGTCTGTTAGGGAAATGACTCCTGGAGGAGACTTCTGCCGGACATGCTTCCCCCTGACAATCAGCCACTCCCTGGGGGTATCGTACGATGCTGACAGTCAGTTATCAAATATGAGTGTCACAGAGGTTGTCTGTCTAGCCTTTTGAACACTACTTTTGCCATTCCCTACAAGCAGAGGTGGACCCTCTTCCTGTGAGCTGGAAGAGAAGAGGTCACATGGAGGGGGTCCCCATGTGGGAGGATGGCAGGTGACTTGCAACTCCACAGTCCGTTTGCTGAAACACATCCCCCAAGTCCCTACCATGGAGTCATCATGCGTTGTTGTGTTTCCATAGCATAAGGAAATTTATTGGCCGTGGTATTGGTTTCCAGTCAACCCACTTCCAGGAATAAGAAGTAGGTTATTTGTCAACAATACTTACTGAACACCAGGTCTGCAGCGTGCATGATGCTAGGAACATGGAAGCACATATAACCAAAACAGTCATCACACAGATGGACAAAATTTTTCCCCTGGTGGCCAATATAATGGGACATATTTTATTGGCCCTATACCAAGTTTTTGATAAAAATTGAATTATTTGTCAACAATGAGAAGTTAAGAGATAAAAATTGGGATTTCTGGCTTCTATTAAAAACAAAATATCACTGGAAGATCTTGCAGCCCTGGCCCTATTTTCCTACATGATGACAACCAGTAGGACTGCTGGGTTTGGATGGTGTATACTTGTCTTTACTTTGTTACATTTGCCTCCACTTCCTATTAAGTTACCCCGGGGACAGCTCAATATTTTTAATATAATCTCCCTACCTTTCTTTCTTCTCTTTCTGTCTCTGTGCTCCCTTCCTATATGCCAAAGATTCATCTCGCTATTTCCTACTGCCTATCTTTTATTTTACACTATATTTATAGATTGGATTTCTCATATAAGAGAAACCATGCTAAATATTTAAACAAGTATGTCTGATGTGCTTCACTTAACATTATGGTCTCAAGGTACATCCATTTTCTTACAAATGACTCAAGTTTATCCTTATTTATGGCAGAGTAGTACTCTATTATGCATTTTATCCATTCATCCACTGATGGAAATATGTGCTGTTTCCAAGATTTAGCTATTATGAATTGTGCTGCTATAAACATGGATATGCAGGTATCGCTGTAATTTGATGTCTTTAACTCTTTCAGGAAGATAGTACCTAGGAGGGGAATAGCTGGGTCAAATGGAATTTTCTATTTTTAGTTTTCTGAGGAATCTCCATATAGATTTCCATAGTGATTGTGCCAGTTTATACTTCCACCAACAATAAGGAAGGGTTTGTTCCTCCTCACAGCCTTGCTAACATTTCTTGTGATTTGATTTCTTGAGGACAGCCATTCTTTCTGGAACAAGGTGGATCTCAGTGTTATTTTAATTTGCATTTCTCCAATAGCCAGCGATGTCGAACACTTTGTCATGTATTCATTGGGCATTTATGCCTCTTCATCTGAGAAGTATCTATCAATTTCAGATGCACATTTTTTATTGTATCTTGAAATTGGGGAAGTCTGGGTTTGTTTATTTTTTTTTTTTTTAGTTCTTCATATAGTCTAGATTTTAGTCCTTTAAGGAGCAGCTGGCAAAACTTTTCTCATTCTTTAGGTTGTCTCTTCACATTATTGTGATTTCTTTTGCTGTGTAGAAGCTTTTTAATTCAATGTGATCTGATTTGTTGATTCTTGGTGTTATTTCTTGATTCTTCTTGGAAAGTCTTTGCCTATACCTGTGTTTTCAAGTTTTACTTATTTTGTCTTCCAGCAGGTTAAATGTTTCTGTTTTAATATTTAGATCTTTGATCCATTTTGATTTCCATTTAGCACATAGTGAGAGATATGGGTCTAGGTTCAGTCTTCGGTATGGGAAAGCCAGTTTTCCCAGCACCATTTGTTAAAGAGGCTGTATTTCCTCCAGCAAACGTATTTGGCCTCTTTGTCAAAGATAGAGTAGTTGAGTGTGCCTGGAGTTGTTTCTGTAGCCTGTTCCATTGATCAGTAAGTATGCTTTTCACCAATCCCATGCTATTTTCATCACTGTCCACTGTTGGTTTCAATTTTTTATATTAAATTATATTCATATAGAGCCTTGCCACTGTAGATATTTGAACTTTTAATCCCCATCCTGAGCTAACCCATGTAGCAGCAAATGTACACACATGCCTTTTCACACAGTGCTAGGGGCTACAGTGAGCTGTTGGTGACTATGGGACGAGGTTCTGTGTGGCACTGGCAGGTGATCAGCACTGCCATGCCATTAAAGCTTCCTGGAAGAAAGCAGAATCTTGCTTATAGGTCCTTATTTCCCCCAGCTTACTGATATCCAGAAGGGTGATAACATATCCTGTTGAATACAGTTGGGAAAATAACAGAGCAAACAATTTCTGGCCTTTACCTCCTAGAACTGTTCTTTTTTTTAATTATAAAGAGAATTTTAAAAAATGAAATAACAACAACATAGACAAAAACAAAACAGCAAAAACAATAAAAATGATGCAGGGTTTCAAAACAAAATGATAGAAATTAACAGTGGTTGTTATATTACATATTGTTATCTTCCACAAAGTTGCTCAGATTAACAGATGTAAGAACACAAGATCAGTCACACCATTAAAGAGAATAAAAGATAATTAAAAAAAAAAAAACCTTAGAAATGATACAGAGCTTCACCAAACAAGATGATAGGAATCCAACAAGGGTTGTTACATTGCATATTGTTATCCTTAAGTTAGTTGGCTTTGTTTCCAGGGAACCTAGGAGGAGGAAATGGGAGCCAGAGCAAAGGAGTCAGTTCTGGATCAACCATAAGAGCTCTGGGTACTTTTTCCAGCTCAAATGAAAGCATCCTGAAGGTTAAACCACTCCAAGACTGTTCTGATGTTGTAGAGGATAGGCCTGGTCCAGTCCAGGATATCGAGTTAACAGCATGTGCTCTGTGTCACCAAGGCCAGCACCTACTAACGAGTGATTGCTGGACACCACAGCACTGACTCCATATTGCTTTCCTAGAACATATTCCTTCTATTGAGGGCAGATTCCTCTCCATTCCCCTGGAAGAAATCAAGGGAAGTAATAATAATAATAAATAAATAATTTATAGAAGGCAAAGCAATAATAATTTATAGAAGGCAAAGCACAGTGCCTAGCACGTAGTTGGTACTCAAAAGACACTTGATGAATTAATCCATTAATGAAAAGCCCACTGTCTCTGCTAAGCTCTAGGATAAAGATAAATGAAGATATTGCTTCTAAACCTTGGGTTCATCATTCTGACTATCCTCTAAGACTCTCATCTGGATGTCTCTAATGCTCTTCAAACTCAACCTAAAGTATCATAAAATTATTCTTAGAAAGACCTGCTTCAACTCTTGCAGTATTCATTGAGAACCTCCATCTGCCCAGGCACCTAAACTAGTGATTGGAAAGCAGTTATCCTACATTTCCCTTTCTTCTGCTCCCCTGTGTTTAGACTGTGGCCATATCTGGCTGTTGCCACTCCCAAGCAGGCCTTGACTTCTTCCCTGTTCAGCCACCACCACTGCCTAAAGTCCACCACACCAGGTGTGGCAGCCACTAGAGTAGGAGGGTGGGGGCGGCAGGGCTGATCTCAGTTTTGGAAGGAGGTAACTGAGCAGTGTGGGCTACTGGAAAATATGTTTCAGGCTGTGTGGAGAGGAAGAGATCAGAGCACTGCTATGCAGAAGCTGATCATGCTCTGTCTGAAGCACTGTGCTCAGGAAGGACAGTAATCAACAGCTGCAAGCCCAGCATGGTGGAAGGACTTGAAACCTGTTAGGGAGAGAGTATGAAGGTCACAAGAGTCAGCTCTATGCGTTGATCTGTGTCTGCCTGACAGTGTAGATGCTCTTTCAGTGATACTAGACAATGCTCCAGGGCTGTGTCTGGCTCCTAGACACTTCTGGCCCTCTTTTCTAAGTGTTTCAGCAGCCAGACAAGTGGTGCACAGGCTCCACACTGCCGCCCCATTGCTCCTGGGGCTGTGGTTACTGCTTGCATGCTTGTGCAACAGCCCCACCCCCCTCTCCTGGCAGAATTCCACTTTATACTGCCTGTATCTGTTCCAGAGCTTCTTCCTTGCATCTGCTTAATTTTGTGCAAAGCACAGGTCTTTCTCCGTGGGCTGTTATCTCTGGCCCTCACTAGCACGCACAGGGCCAATGAAATGACTGCTTTGCAATGGTCTAATGACACAGTTGATCTATTTTAAGCACCTGAAGAATACTTCACCAAGTGCCAATCTCCCTGCTGCCAGCTGCTCTCGGCAAGGAGAAGCAGGGACTGCCTGAGGTCTGCTCCTACATTTTGAGATCTGGGGACACATCTCAGGGATCCCATCCATGCCTGTGTGAGGGTGATCTAAGACAACCATAGCATTACATATTTTCACAGTCAGTATGGGTCGTTCCAGAGAATCGCCTGTGATGTCAGGATTATATAGTGCAGGCACCTCAGGTGACCATAGGCTCCTCTTTCAAAGAACAGTGGCAAAGCCTGGGACTGTCACACACAGGGAGAAAGGATGCGGCGGCAACATCTCTGAAACAAAAAGAAGCCCAGCCCCCATCAGAGATTCCTTAGCCTCAGACCCCTCCTTTTCCCAATCAAGAGGCATTCTTTTCCAACCATAGCCTATCTGAATGCAAATGCTTTATGTGTTTCTTTAATCCTTACACCAATCCTATTAGACCGTCTCTGAATTCTGTATCTGAGGAAGACCACCCAAGTACACTGGGTCTCATCATTCTTCACAGAACTAGCCACAGTCAATATTACTGTGTTTGTCAGCTCCCTGCTCCGTTTCTGTCTCGTATCCCCTTTCACCTGCAAGTCGCAGGAAGGCCGTGTGACAGACCTGCCTGTTTTGCTCACTGTCGAGTCCTCTAAACCCGACATGGTGTTTGACACTGAGGGATGCTGGCTTATGACAGTGTCTGTGGGACACAGGCTCGCCTCTTCACATGTGTTAGCCACTGAGCACACATGGAAATCCTAGGAGGCAGACATGGGTGTTATTCTCATTTTACAGAGGAAACCGAGGCTCAGAAAATATCAGCTCCAAACCTCAAATTTAAAATGAGTGAAAATGTGGAAGGACAAATGTAATTAGGAATATTTTGAAGTCTTCATTTTACATAAAAGGAAAATGAAGTGCACAGGTAAATTGCCTGGGCAAAGTCCATGAGCTAGGAAGCAGTGGTTCCAGTGTGTAAACCACATCCATCTGATTCTGAGGTGCCTTCCTCCGTGTTCTTGCTGGTTTTTCCAGTTTTTCTGCAGTGGAGGGCACAGGGGAACGCATCGGTTGGGATAGATGGTCTTGCAGTTGAATCTCCCAGCACTATTTACTCACACAAATGGGCAAGGAAACAAATCCCCGCTACATATGGTGGTAATGGTCTAAGCACCATGGAATCCAAGATGCTTAGGACAGGTCACTTCCTCCCAGTGTCACCAAGTAAGAGACATGAGCAAGGAATTCCAATATGAGGGACACCATGGTGACACTGAATGGAAACCTCCAAACCCAGCACTGTGGGAGGCTTAGGCAGGAGGATGACAAGTTCTAGCCTACTTCAGGCAACTTAAAAACTTAGCAAGACCCTCCCCCAAAATTTAAAAAAAAAATTAAAAGGGATGGTGTTGTAGCTCAGTTCAAAGGGCTTGAGTTCAAGCGCCAGTACCTAAAAAAAAATAGTAAAGGTGGCATGCCAAATTCCTTCAGAAAGTCTGGGAAGGTACCATCCAATCTAGACCCTGAAGGTGCAGACAAGTTTGTGGTAGATCAAGAAGAAGGACAAAAAGGCTTAGTCATTCATTCTTTCATGAATGGATTATGCAACTCCTGAATCCTGGGTCCTTGGCTAGGAACCGGGCTACTGAGCAGAATAAAGGCACAAAGCATTTTGGGAAGTGTGCAGAAGACCAGTTCATGTGTACTTTATAGAGTATGAGTATGTGGACAGTGAGGGAATAAGACCCACAGGGTGGCAAGGGTCACATCTTTGAGAGTTTTAGAATGCCAGGTAAAAGAGTATTTGTTACAATCAATAGCCAGTGAGGAGTCATAAGAGGTTTTGAGCCAAGCAATGACCTGACCAGAGCTGTGCATTATTCAGGGAGATCTCCTGGCAACGTGCACCACCTGATGCATCACAGAGCCTGGAGGCAGCAAGAGGCCAGTGAGACACAGTGGTACTGTGCAAGTGGATGGGGGAGGGGATTGTCCTGGAGGATGGGTGAGCAGTAGTTCTGCGGCATTACCTGAGGTGCAATTACTTCAGCATCGCTGCCCTTATGCCCACAGATGCACCTGCTGTTTCTGATTTCTGGATCTGTGCAAACTGATACTTTGAAAACTGGGCTACTGACCCAGTTGAGAAGCCAAGATAGTGTACTTGATAACTACTTGAGCTACAGAGTCAGTCTGCCTCGGTTCACATTCCATCTTGGCCACTTACTAGCTGTGCAGACTCCAGGGACTTGTGTTATCTCCCGCAACCAAGCTTCAGCCTCCTCTCAGAATGAGAATCAGAGGTGAGCGCTCTATGAGAGCATAGATGTCAGATGCTGAGTACAGTGGGAACACGTAATAATGGTTGGGAGTGACAGAGTAGTGAAATATGTTTGAATACATTGGGAAAACCTGTTTAAATATATAAATGAGTCATCACATGGTATTTTCATGATACAGTCACCTCGTGGTCGTTACACTGAAAAGAAGAAGCAGAGGTATCCACTGATAACCCAGGACTTTACTAACTAACATTCAGGGAATACTTTTTTTTTTTTTTTTTTTTTTGGTTTTTCTCTAGTACCGGGAACCGAACTCACGACCTTGCGCTTGCCAGGCAGGCGCTTTGCCGCTGAGCTAAATTCCCGGCCCCTTCAGGGAGTACTTGATCATGTGTTAAACTCCATTCTGAACACTTTCCATCAATAATGCTTTCCGATTCCAGGCATGAGTCAGGGGTGAATCCTGAGTAGGAAGTATTTCATGTTAAACCAGGGGTTGGCAACCCTCCTATAAAGGGCCAAACAGTAAGCCAAATGGTCTTTTTAGCATAAAAGCAGAAAATATGTAAAAAGATGGGTAAGGCAGTGTGCCGATCAAAATTTATTCACAAAAAACAAAGATGGGGGATGTCTTTGCCTTCAGCCAGTTTGCTAACTGATATGCTGGACAACGACTAAGTTGTCTTCCAACTTTGAGATTCCAAAACAAAATGATGACGAAGAAATGCCTAGTCCTTCTAATCCACTTCACCTTTGTCATCACACGGGGGTTTGTTTGAAATATTGTTGGAAAGATTGTTGGAAAGACACAGAAAGAACCAGAGAGCTTACTGTTTTGGTTTTTTCTTTTTTTTTTTTGCCTTCATAATCAGCAAAACTCATAATTCACATATGACTCTTACCAAGTGGCCACTAACTACTACTCTATGTAAGCCACAGTGCAAGCTGCTGGGGAAATGGATCTTGTACTGTCGAACATGCTAGTCAGACCAGAGACTCTATCATTTTGGAAAAGACACACATGACAATTTTCCATGTCAGATTGTCAATATTCAGAGCAATGTTCCTTATCCTTTTGCCTTCTATTTATACGTTCTTTTCAAAATTTTATTTTATTTTATTAGTGATCATTTGCAGTATATAATGTTTATGCTCACTTTAGGGAGTAGATGCCTATACTTAACACATCTTACTTCTCTCTAGTCCCCTTGCCTTTACTTCCTTCCTCCCTCCCCCATCTCTGCTCTAGACACACAATGATTACATTCATTGGGGATAGTTGGTACATGTACAAAACACAGCCCATTCTTCCTACATCCCCCTCCCCATCCTCCATCTCTTGCTTCCCATTTACAAAAGATCTATCTTCCTGTTTTCCCCATCTGTCTTTCACTTTGCGCTGTACTTCATTTATACTTTGGACTTCTCATATGAGAGAAAACGCATGGTATTTAATCTTATGAGTCTGATTTATTTCCCTTAACATTATGTTTTCAAGTTGTGTTTATTTTCCTCCATACAAATGACTCAAATGTATCCCTCTTTTTAGCTAAGTAGTATTTCGTTATGTATAGATACCACATTTTCTTTATCCTTTCATCTGTTGGTGGCCATATATGCTACTTGCCAGATTTAGTTGTTATGAATTGTGCTGCTATAAACATTGGTATCCATGTACTGTTGTAATACGATGTTTTTAACCCTTTTGGAGAGATGCCTTAAGGGAAATAGTTGGGTCAAATGGAATTTCTACTTTCAGTTTTTTGAGAAATCTCCATACTGATTTCAATAGTGGATGTACTAGTTTACATTGCCACCAGCAATATAGTCGGATTCCTTATCGACCACAACCTTACCAGCATTTGTTATTATTTGATTCTTTTGATGATGGACATTCTTTTTGAGTAAGATGAAATCTCAGTTGTTTAAATTGTATTTCTCTAATGGCCAATAATGTTGAACACTTTTTCATGTATTTATTGACTATTTGTATTTCTTCTTTTGAGAAGTATCTATTCATTTTAGTTGCTTATTTTTTAATTGGGTCTTTTATCTTGGGGGATCTAATTCTTTTGAGTTCTTTATACATTATAGGTATTAATCCTGTCTGAGGCATAGCTGGCAAAAATGTTTTCCCATTCTGTAGGTTGTCTCTTGTGCAATTGGAGTTGGAGTTCTCTTCAGAAAATCCTAGGCTATGCCTGTGCCTTCAAGAGTTTTACCTACTTTGTTTTCCAGCAAGTTAAATGTTTCTGTTTTAATATTAGATCTTTGATCCATTTTGATTTTAGTTTAGTACATGGTGAGACATATGGGTAAAGATTCAGTCTTCTGCATGTGGAAAGCCAGTTTTCCCAGTGCCATTTGAAAAGAGGCTATCTTGCCTCCATCATATATTTTTGGCTCCTTCATCAAAGATCAGGTGGCTGAGTATGTCTGAGATTGTTCCTGCATCCTCTAGGTTACATTTATTTATCCACATGTCTATTTTTGTGCTAATACTATGCTGTTTTTATCACTGTAGCTTTATAGTATAACTTGAAGTCCAGGATTATAATGTCTCTTGCTCTGCTTTTGTTGCCCAGTATTTACATTTTCTACTTAAAGCCCACATTCCTTTGTCATTAAATCTAGCTGGAATGTTTTCCCAGCATGGTTAATCATTCCTCCTTCCAATTCTTCAGGAGAACTTATCCCCATTTCCTTGCAGTACTAATAGTCTGTCAAGCTAATGTGTTCTGCTCCTCCTCCAGGGGATGGCACCTGACCTAGGCTAGCCAGTCAGAGCATTTCCTGGCACAAGGATTTGTTTTTCAGTGGACATTACACCCAAAATAGACCATGCAGAGTATTTCCTGGAGTTGGCTGGGGAGACACTGGGAGAAGTATTCGTCCCATAAGGTTGGAGACCTAGGAGATGACAGTCTGAGAATACCAGTGGCCATTGTTTCTAACATATAAGAAACTGTCTGAAAAATAGAGACAGTCATAGCTCTGATCACATAGGAAAGCACCAGAATGCAGCTCTACCTGAAGCCAAAGCTGCCCCACCCTAGACCTGCCAGTTATAAAAACCAACACATTCCATTTTGACTTAAACTAGTTTCAGCTGGGTTTCTTTAAACTACAGCTGAAAAAGGATTCCAACAAAGGCATTTTTCTTTCCACTTGGCAATTACCCTATGATTTCCCCCATTTATCAAAATTCTAGTGATCTCTAGACACAATACTCTTCCATCCAGCTACCAGTCATTGACCCTGACATGATTTTATTCCCCCTTCTGAAGTCTCTGTTCAGTCTAAAACATTATCATGGTTACAGGTCATTTGCTGTAAGTCAGCACAGTCTTCATATGCATTTCTTAGCATCTCTCCTAGATTATCAGCTTTCTACAGATAAGAAATCTTGTGTCAGCCCAGTATAGTGTATTTGTCCTTCAACTGTGAGCCACAGACCAGTGAGGAGCCAAGAAATTATTTCTGGAGCTTCCAAATCCTTGTGTGCACCTAAATGTACAAATGCATAATAACTATCAAGTGCATGTGTTTGGGAAAATTCAATATGGCAAAACACTACCATAGGTATTACTTAGATGTCATACTAAAATGTAGAAGCTCACAAAAATGTTTGACATTGAAAAGGAGTTGCAAAATAGTCTGAATGTGGTTGCATGGATGTGTGTGTATAGCTGTAGGATATTTTGAGCAGTATACTTAAGATTTGTAAGTTGGACTCTATGAGAGTTATGCCACAATACAAGACAAAAATTAAATTAAAATAAAGGCAGGGTGACAAGTTTATCTATCCCTAGTCCAGTTACAAGACCCTTGCTACATCAGTGTACAAAAATCAATTCAGAATAGATCATGGACCTACATAAAGTAGACGCTAAAATTGCACAACCCATAGAAGAAAATACAGGAGAATAGTTTATGACCTTGTAAGCATTGATGTTCTAGAACACTAAAATCATTAAAAACTGCTAAGAATCCTGACACATCACAAAAGAACGCAGAACTAGTCAGTAAGCACATAAAAAAGAGCTCCATATTATGTGGAAATAAAAATTTAAATCACCTGTTTACACTCATCCAAGTGACTACAATTTTTCATCTATTTCTGGTGGGAATGTAAAATGATAGCACTTTGGAAAATTGTTTGCTAATTCCCTATGCACCTACTTATGATACAGAAACACCTTTCTTAGCTATTTACTTGTGAGTGATGAAAACATATATCCAAAAAAGATTTATGCAAGTGGCATCTTAATTCATGATAGCTCAAAGCTAGAAACATCCCAAGTGTTCATCTACGAATGGATAAACAAATTGCGTTACACTTCCACACGGGATTACTACTTAGCAGTTAAAAGTAACACACTAAATTGTTGATGCGAACTGTAACCTGAATGAGTTGCAGAAACACAATGAGTAAGGGAAATAAAAAGAGTTCATACTGTACATGAAGGTGAAAAGCTAATCTATGTGGACAGAAATCATAACAGAATTTGCTTTTGATTGGAAGGAGTGGCTGGTTACAAAAGAGTACAGCAAACTCTCTGGAGTGACTGAAATATCCCCTATGTTGATCGAGGTGTTGTTTATATATTTGTCAAAATTTTTTCTACTTAAGATCTATATCTATTTCATTATTGCAAATTGTCCCAAATGTGTGTGTGTGTGTGTGTGTGTGTGTGTGTGTGTGTGTGTGTGTGTTTCTCCTCTAGAGTCCCAGGTATGGAAACAGAACCTATTTCAAGTCTCAGCCCTCTGCTAACTCTGGGACCTCTGAGGCTAGTGTTCTTATCAGTTCTGTGGATACATCCTATCTGCCTGGCTTACCTCCCAGGGCTATTTCAACTGTAATCCCTGCAAGCAAGCTTTGTAAAACCTCGAAGCATGTACATTTCAAGAGCCTCCTCTCCAACTGATCTTTTGCTAGTGTCTCTGGCCACAGTGTTCCAACCACACAGGCCTCCTTGAACTTACCATGTTCGCCAGCCTCGGGGCTCTTGCATGTGTTGCTCCTCTACCTGGATTGTTCTGGTTGCTGCTCTTCTATGACCAGCTCCCTTCTGTCCCTGCAGTCTCAAATGAAATACATTATCTTCAGGCGGCCCCTCTCCTAACTCATTTCCTTCATTCTACTTGTCCCACTTTGTATACCTCTATTTGTACTACTTTTATTGTAGATCTTTCCCATGGAATTATAACCATTATTTATTGTAACTCTTTGCCATAGAATTATAAAATCCCAAAGGATAGGAAACATGATGCTTTATTAGCTTGTACAGCCCAGTCCTTAGCTCATAGAAATTACCCAGTAAATGTGTAATCTGGTTGTGCTGACTCCAGACTTTCTACTTGGAGCCAGGTCTTCCCTCGGTCTTACTGGGTGGTAGAAGAGCAACACCAGGATAAAGCTCAACGAGAAAAGCTTTTTTGTGTCAAGGGGCTCAGAACAGCCTCAAGACATCATGGCCTAAGGAAGACCAGGAAGCTTTCTGTTTATGACTATGCTGCGTGATCCCTCTATTGGCCTGCAACCTGAGGTTTCTGCATGTATTTCCAGGTTGAGATGAATCTACAGCACAAACAAGGCCAATCACATAGCACACAGGAATTATCCTTCATCCCAGGGCCCTCCTCATCCCTGTCCAGTAGTTGGCCTGGGAGCAAGTGCAATGAATGTTTACATTCATTTTTTTAGTACCTTTCAGTCCTTGGCCAATCATGGGGCCTCTTAGCCCTAATCCCTTCCCCATCTGTCTCTGTTAATTAGAACACTTTCTTTCTTGGCTTTTCTAGGATTGAAGTGCTGCACTTGCTTCTCTCCTTAGATAGCCTGGGGTGCAGAGGATGCCCTAGAGCCCAGTGCAGTCAGGCACCTCCCACAGCCAATACCCTTGGGAGCACTCTCAGATCTTCTGTTCTACAGCTAGAATGGGTGTACTGACCCAGATTATGTTGGCATCGATGACATCAGTGCTATGGGGAAATGCTTTGTAGCAGGTAGCAAAGTCCACTTGAGGGTACAGACTTAAAGAATATGTTGAGGAATATCCACATTGCTTTGAACTATGTGAGAAATCCACCCCTCTTCCCACCTGCTTCCTCCATCACCAAAATTCTGCTTTCTCTCTTCCTGGCTGCCTCCCTTGAAATCGGTATTGTTTTCAACAGATTATGTCAGTAAGACCTTTATGTGAGTGGGATTTGGGATGTCTCTGTTTTTCATCTGAGAATATGTCCTCTGCCAATGAGTTTGGGCCTCTTGCCCACATGTTAATTATTGAACCATGGTTCCTGGAGTCAACTGGGGACAGGATGGCTCTTTGACTAGGACAGAGGAAGGGCTGGTTCTTGTTATTATAGGTGGTGGTGGTTGTTTTTGTTTTTGTTTGTTTGTTTTGGCATTTATCAAGATTAAACAGGCTGAGTATGTGAAAGTACTTCATAAATACTGGCCCCCTTTTTGTCAAGACACAACACTTGTCAGAAATCAAATGTCAGTGAATCTCTTGAGATTCCTTCACTTACGTTGGGAATAATCATTTTCTATTGCCAACAGTGTCAGGAAAATCCTCCAGTCATTCAGGAAGCAGGGTGATAGAAAAGGGTCTACTTACATGCTTATGTGTAGGTATGTGCACAGGTGTGAAAGAAAAGCTGGCTGAACCAGGCCTCTGTTGGCATCTGGCACAGTTCAGTTCCCTATGCCTTGCCGCTATGCTTGCCGCTAAAGCAGGTGGAGTGATCCTTGCTTCACCTCCATCATAGGGCCGGTGACAATCAAATGAAGCAATGCATGAGAGAGTCTTTGAGTGGGATTCCGTTTTCCTAGTTGTTGAGCAGACGCCTTCTTCCTTTGGCTGTCCTTTAAGAGAAAGAAGCCAGCAAAGATTTGAATTGCTTTTTTATTACTTTTGGTTGCTGGCTGTGTTTCTTTTAACCATTAAAATTTAATACAACTCTGCCCAGAAACAGCACAAGACAAAGGCAACTTTATTTGGATTTTAGGTAAATGGGGCAAGGCAAAAAGAGTTGATTCACTGTGGGTCTACCATGCTCCTATACAACTGTCCTGATTTCAGATGTTTCATCCCATTGTTGGCCACGCAGCCAGTCGTGCATTTTAGTATCTCATTCAGGAAGCATGGGCTCTATAATTAAAGGATAACAAGAAGAAACACAGTAGGGTAGCCATAGCATAAAGGCTTTGCTGCTTCTCTTTGTGTCTGGAAGGGCAGCAAGCAATCCAGACCAAAGAGAAAGAATCCTTTCATCATGCCCATCAGAGCAGATGACTTGTTTTGGCTGACAGACCTGGACTGTCACCCTTAGCTCCTTTTACAACTCCCTGGTGAGTGTGGCTGTCTCCGGGATCAGTTGGCTTCTAGATTGGGAAGAACACCCAGTGTACCTGTTGGGAAGCCTCACTTTTCATTACTCCACTCCCCTCACTCAGACTCTTGACCTTTGACAGTTGCTCCTTTGTCTCTACCAATGGCTACTGTGGCACAAGCAGTAAAGTGTGAGCAGCCACAGCCTCTCCCTGCTGAAAGCCATGTGCCAAGGTGTGCATTTTTTTAAGATACAGAATTCAGGAAAACTGGAAGAACCTCTGGCATGCCTTCTTTGGAGTGGGAATTGCCAGGAGTGCAGGGGAGCAGGAAGCCTTGGGAGGGGAAAAAAAAAAAGAAAGCCAGAGTGGCTGCCAGAAAGGAGCAGGATCTGAGATGAGGCAGAGGCCAACAGAGACCAAGTCACACAGAGCCTTTTGGATCATAGCAAGGACTATGGCTTCATCCCAAGGTGAAAGGAGCCCATTGAATGGTGTTAATGCCACTGGAGGCAGTGGGCATCTTGGTTAAGCATCACTGTATTTGCATTTTGAGAGCATTACTCTGGGCACTGTGTGGACAATGATTGGGAATGGAGACCAATTAGGACTGGTTGTATACTACCGGCAGAAGAAGATGAGACTGAGACTACAAGGGATAGGGCGGGGTGCCTTCTATTTCAAGGTGATTGCATAATTTTATTTCCTGGTGCCTTTTATATCCTTTGTGCTAATTAAGATACTGATTTGGAGTTCATATTCATCTTTTAGAGCCACCATAGCAAAATACCATACATTGGGTAGCTTAAACAACAGAAAATCATTTCACCACAATTCAGGAAGAAGTCCAAGATCAAGGTGCAGGCAGGGCTGGTTTCTTCTGAGTTCTCTTTATGGCTTATGGATGACCATCTTCTCCCTGTGAATTCATGTGGTCTTCCCCATCTGCATTCCTGTGTCCTCATCTTCACTTCTTATAAAGAAACCAATCATATCCAGTTAGGGCCCACCATATTGATTCATTTTAACTTAATTTTCTCTTTAAAGCCCCTATTTTCAAATGCAGTCACATTCCAACATACTGGGGGTTAGGGCTTCTACATATGGATTGGAAGGGAGGTAAAGGAGCACACTTAGCCTATGTCAGTCTCTGCTCAAATTCTATCTTCCCCTTCTTTGAAGTCTGTGTTTCTCTGCGAGTCTCAGAGGGAAGACGGGCTCTGCTTTTTTTGAGGGAAGGTGGTCTTTCCTCAGAGGAGTCCTCATTTGGTCATGGATAGTTGTTCTTTCTGATTCCCAACATATTTTTCCCCATAAATGGTATGTAGATAACTTTTAGTATTTCTGTAATGTGTCAATATCTACTCCAAATCCAACCTCACACACATATATACACAGTAACCATGTTGTATGCAGTGAAAGTTGCATAATTATTTGATGGCTTTCCTTTGGGTTTTGGTCTTCCCAGAATGATGAACCTGACCATGTTGTGATTTCTACTACAGCATGGTTTAGCCACAGACATTTCCTGTTCTGGTTACTTCTTGGAAACACGTTTCTTGCATTTAACCTTCTCTGTGGGTTCAAGAAACACCTGTTGTACGAAATAGCTGTCAAATTCATTTTGACCAAAAATTTAACTCCTTATCTCATCCCATGGGTGTGTCCAAATGCCTGTGACATGCCCACAAGAATACTCTGGGGTATACAGACATAAGTAGCATCTCTTCCTAAGTAATTTGCAATGCAGCGGTGAAATAAAATGTGTAACAGTAACTATTTGCAGGTGAACCATGCTGTGGGTCGGTGGTTTTCAAAATGTGGTCCTCAGACCTGCAGCATTAGCATCATCTAGGAACTTGTTAGAAATGCAGGTTCTCAGACCTTGCCTTTACACACTGAGCCAGAAACCCTAGGAGTGAGGCCAGCGCCCCATGTATTGACAAGATGTCCAGGAATTGTCACGCATGCTCAGCTTTGGGAACTACCACTTAGTCCTAACAAGCACATGCCATGAGGCTTTAAAGAGAGCTCATATGTGGAGTGGAGGTAAAGGGAAAATCGGAGACTATTTCTAGAAGTGTGCTGCATATGAGATGGGCCTTGAGGAGTGAGTCGGATTTTTATATTTATATGTAGAAAATCATATTTACTACAATTGCCATCTGCATGTTTATGTATTTCTCTTTACAAAAGCAATTAACAGCCTGGACTCTTAACTAGAAAGATCTGCTAGCTGTCCCTTCTTTGCATTTTAACTGGCTCACTGTAAGTTGAAGCTTCCCCGAACATATGCTCAGCTACAGAACTAGTAACTATGGCGGAGGCATTTTGTCAGAGGACAAGTCCCATTCCAAACACAGCTTGAACTGGAGGTCAGGATTCTACCTTTATATTTGAGTCAAAATCAGTTCAAAACATCCTTGACTCTTACAGTGGGAAGGGACTGTCAGGGTTATCAAGTCATTTGAGCCGACCAAATAACCTCTGAGCTGACCTTGAAAGGTAAGTGGCACCAGGACACACGGCATGAGCACACAGCTCTTCTACCAGACCACTGACTGTCTCTGTAGCAAGAGTGGACAGACTATGGCTTGAGAGACAATTCTGACCCACCAGCTGTCTTTGTAAATAAAGTTTTATTGGAACACAGTCATGTCCATTCACTTATATATTGGCTATGGCTGCTTTTGCACTACAGTAGTGCAAACTTTTAAATTCCTTCCCTGACTTTGTATTAGCAAGAACTCAGATTGCAAGTGACCAAAACCCAGTTCCAATGTTTGCATTAACAATCTATTGACTCCTGTGCTGAAGTCCAGGGAAGACCTGCTGGGAGTAACTGTTCACTTGGAGTAACTGTTCACCGTCCATGCTCATTCCAAATGGACCATCTCTTGGTCCAGGCTGCTTGAGTAATGTCTGCGCCTCCTGCCATGGTCCTTCTCCCTAGGCAGCTGATCTGGTTAATTCTCTTGCCTGCACAGCCCATCTCCATTTCATTCTACTGAGTCCCAGTCTTTGTCTTGCTGTGGCTGTAAGTCCTAGGTGTTTGTCTTTACTGGACTACTGAATAATAATCACATGAGATGACAGGACAGTCTGAATATTTAAAAAAGACTCTCAGAAATATAAGGAGTTGCTTTTATTCTCTTAGAATCAAAGCGTATTTAAGCTGGCAACAGGACTAAAGCTCATCTTTAAGCCAGAGTGAAGAAAAAAAAGATTCATAAATGTGTTTTAGTTGGCTCACATATTCTTTTCTTATTTTTGTTTATTTAATATTTGAGCCAAGAATATAAAAGCAGAGAGTTTGACTTTAGAATCAAGATTTCTGGTTTCAGTGAGCCCATGTTCCCAAGTGGCAGGAATCAGCTGGAATGGGGCAAGGGCTGTGCCTGTTGGGCCACAGTCTCCCACTTCCTTTGACTTGCCCGCCTCCCTTGTCACCCGTCTGCCCCCCTTCACACTACGTCATGCTCCCTGACTCAATACAGTTGTGCGTCTGACTCCCAAAAGTTGTATTTCTCACTTGTCTGTGCCAGCAATCATGCAGTCTCAGCCAGCTTCCATCTGTGGGAAGCCCAGTACTTAGGAGGCAGCCCATTTCTCCACTGGACATCTCTGACTTCTAGAAATGTTTCCTCTGTATGGTTCATCTTATGTAGCACCCTCGAGTGGATAAATGACTCACCCCAGTCTTCTGTGTGTTTAGAAGCTGAAGGCTCACCGAGACGGTGGTATTTTCACTTTTCATCCCATGGAGGTGTGTTCTTCCCCACCTTCTTTCCCTACTCACCAACCTGAAGTCCCATTTATCGAATAGAGGTGCATTTAAAAAGCCATTTGACATCAGGTTTATTCTTGACTGAACTCTCTACTTTTACAAACATTATAAAAAAAGAGTTGGCAAAAATTTTTTTGTGAAGAACCAAATAGTGCAAATCTTAGGCTTTGCAGATCATATGGACCCACCCATGCCTACTCAACTCTGCTATTGAGTGCAAAAGCAGGCATAGACAGTGCCTAAATGATGGGCATGACTGTGCCCCTGTGAACTGTTTACAAAGACAGAAGGTCAGAGTTGACCCTGAGCTGTAGCTTGCCCACTTATGCTATGCAATCACTCCATGAGCCAGCAAGAGAAGTGTGGTTTTATGTGAGGTGTCTCAACATTACCCGTCTTTCAGGGCCAGCCCAGGTGGGCCATTCCCAAATAGCTTAGCCCAGTTCTCTTGAAGGATATTATCCCAATAGCCTCAAGATTCTTATAGTGTAGCATTTTTCACAGATGTTCTGGAGATCCCTGAGAGACCTTCATACCCTTTCAGGGCAGACTTGTATAATGATGCTAAGAATTTGCCTTTTCTCCTCTCATCCTTTCATGAGTATACAGTGCAGTTTTCCAGAGGCAATGAGTGGTGTGTGCTTGTATATTTTTGTTTTTGAAAACTTTCAGATATGATTTCTAATATGACAAATATTTCTAGCTGTAACCTACATAAACAAAAGCTCTTTGGAGTTAACAGTAACAATTAGGAGTACAGAGGAGTCCTGAAACCAAAGATTTTCAGAACTGTTGACATTGTAGGATTCTAACTACACCTTCCCTATACTACAAAACATTTTTCATCTTGTTGTGTAGAGTTTTGGGGGAGGCACTTGCAACGAAAATTGTCATTTCTTATAGACAAGAGCTGCGCTGACTGTGATGTTTCATGGTCACACTTGAATTTTCACAGAGTAGGTTCATTTATTTTAACGGTGGCTATTGTAAATCACTTTGTGCCAGGTATTATGCTTGGCATTGGGTCTAGAGAGCTGAGCTCAATGAGTACCATCTCTGCCCTCATCAAACTTCAAATCAAATAGAAGAAACAGAGATTAAGCAAATGATCACAGCTAATTACATCAATACATGCTGAAAAGTGCCACCAAGAGAGAGTGCTCAGGCTGCTGGGAACCAATGGCAATGGTTCTTGTATGGCTGAGGGAAGTCATGAAGGACTTTTCCCTTGAGATCTGTAGAATAGAGAGTGTCCATATAAAACACCATTTCTCAACATTCACACATTTGACTAGCTTGACCAGTGACATTTAGTACTATACCGAGGAGAGGGAGGAACTATCCTGTACTTATCCTGTATCTTATCCTGTACTGATAAGATGCTTACAGCATCCCTGGCCTCTACCCACTATGTCCCACTAAGAGATTTGCACACACCGTGGCTGTGATGACCATTCCTGGACAATGCCTGGAGAGGCACTGTCAGATAATGCCAGGTGGAGAATTCTCCCTAGTTAAGAGCTGGCAATCTAGCAGAGAGGTGGGATAGGAAGGCTGCTCTGGGAGTCCAAGCTAGAGAAGCTTATGGCTGGAAGAAAACTGGTGGGGGTGGAGAGGATGCTGACCTGCAGACCTACAGAAGTGATCCAGATATCTAGCGACGGCTTGGTAGTAGATACACTAGAAGGTGTAGGAGAGTGTGGCGGTGAGTTTCAGAGTTCATCATGTTGAAGGAGTGACTTTGGTTTCACAGATGTCACCATCACAGCCTGGCTGTAAGACCTCAAGGTCCAGGGCTTGGAATCCACACTAGAGTGAGGGAAAACACCTTTGCTCGTCTCTCTGCCAGCACAGCCGCCTGTGTTGTTCATCTTTGCCTGGTTGGAGATGGCTCTAATAACAGACCCCAAACAGCTCTTGCTTTAAAAATGACAACTTTAGAGAAGAAAAACCATCTGGCAGCGCTGAGTGAATTAAGTGGTGTTTAATCTAGCTGTATTAGGACATTGTTGCGATGCCAGTTGATTCCTTTAAACATTTGTGAAGGTTGGCAAACACATCAGAGAAAATATACTTAGCAGCACTCAGAGGCCTGGCAAATTATCTGATGATAGTGTTTTTGATACAAATTAGTATCAGATATCAAGATTTCTGAAATTCTCTTCTCAGTGGTGAATACTGTGTGG